TAGCTATTATATAATCAAATATCAATGTTGAAAGCATTAATGCAGAAGTAGTGTTGTTGATTTCCAAATATTATTATTATTTATTACAAAATTATTATTCATTTTAATTTTTATTATTTGGTAGATGCTTCATATCTATAACTATTGGGACGTGTAGTATAACTAGTATATATATGTTGATTTAATGTAAAATAGATATTATTTACACAAATGTTAAAAAAATTGTAAATTGAGCATTTACTAATATCAATAACATTATTTATTTTATGTAGAGAGGGTACCTATATGCATTAGGAACTGAATGCTTATAAAAGGCATGGAGAAACATTTATTATTTCATTTATTGTTCAACGTTTGAATTATTTTCTTTTTTTCATAAACTAAATAAAAATGGTTTTTTTTACACATAGTTTAATAAAGATTACAGTTCTGATTATTACAATTTGGGTTATGCCTTCTACTTCTAATAAGCATGTAGAAGCAGCAATAGGTATGGAAATATTGATTATATTAAATTATTTTATTGTCTTATATTTATCATTTATCAGCAGTAATTTGTAAATTTTTTTGAATTAATTTACAAACTCATAACAATTAATATAATGTTATTATAACCTTATACAAAATAAAAATGTATGCCAATTATTTGATTTAATTTTATAAGATTAAATTTTTAAGGTCTATTTAATGATAAACGAAATCAAAATCATTATTAAAAATTAAAAAGCTTGTAAGTGGATGTCTGGAGTTAAAAATTTAGTCAGAAATTCGGCTGCTTCTAATGTTCAGTCCGTTAATAATATAGCAAAAGAAACAATGTCTTAACAGAATCAATATCTTCCATATTATATCCTTCTTCAAATGCTAATCATTTAAAATTACTTTGTTCTACTAGATGGGTGGACTGTCATGATTCCATACTTGTTTTTGTTGATTTATTTGATGTCACTATCGACGGCCTAACAAAAGTATGTTTTTGGTTTGAAAAAGATTCTTCATCAGAAGCATATTTATTATTGTATTCTATACAACAGCCTGAATTTCTACTAGCAACATTTGTACTATCAAATGTATTTGGTATAAGCTTGCCACTAAGTAAACATCCCCAAATTAAAAAAAAAGCGGGTAAGTCGTGGATGTCGCTCTGCTGTACAGTAGGTYACTGTAATGGATGGGATTAAATTTGAATGCAATGATAGATATCATTGTATACGAAAAACGATTCTGAACGGAGATGATTTGTCAGTCTAGGATAATATATTATATTTAAATATTGTCTAAATATTGTTCTATTTTGAAACAAATATTTTATTTTTCAATTAGAACGCATTTTGCATAAGGCATGGTTAATCAATTTTTCCAAAAACATTGCATGTAGTTATCATAATTCATAATACCATATATTATCATAGATATACGAATACCTGGTTTGAGAATAAATCGTTATCATTACGCGATTTCATAAAAATTTAAAACTCAAACGCTTAAAACATGTTTCCTATAATGACCTTCAAATTTTCTCTATAGCTATTTGAAACAAAACTTATGGAAAACTTGGTGTTAAATGTTATAACCTTCGATATAAATACAAACAATATTATGAATTTTGAACTACAAAATAATTTGCAAATATTCATGGTTTTAACGAATTTTTGTCAATATTTGAAATTCAAATGCTGATAAAAATTTAATTTGAATTTCCAGTGAACATTTTTTTTATGATAAAGATTGACAAATTTGTAAGGAATCTTGTATTAAATTTTCAAATCTTAGGTATAAAAGGAAAATTTTTTAAGAATTTCTAGCTTATAATAATTTGCGAATTTTCGTGATTTTTACGTATGTTGTCAAAATTAAAATTTAAATGCTTGTAAAAAAAAAAATCTGACTATACATTTCTTATATTGTTCAACTGCTATTGTAAAACTGTTTTAGGAGCCTTGTATTACATTTTCAAATCTTAGGTATAAAAGGAAAATTTTTTATGAATTTCTAGGATAAAATAATTCACGAATTTTTGTGATTATTACGTATGTTGTCAAAATTAAAATTTGAATACATGTAAAAAAAAAATTGTAGCTATACACTTATTTTATTTTTTAACTGCTATTGTAAAAATATATTATGAGCCTTGTATTAAATTCTCAAATCTTAGAATTAAAAAGAAAAACTTTTATGAATTTCGATCTAAGATAATTTGAAAATTGCCGTAATTTTTACGTGTTAAGTCAATATTTGAACTTCAAATGCTTCAAAAAAAAAACACACACACACACATCATGGTAAAATCAATACATTCATCAGAATCTAAAACATCACTGCATGTCTGCATGGAATATCACGCGGTTCAGCAGTATTCTTAAAATATATGTGTTACAGATATTACGGACCGACCTAAAAATAACGATAATTTTTATGATAATATACCTACCTAAAAAATATTATGTGTTGGTTTTCTATTTTTAAATATTTTATTCAAGTATTCAATTGTTTTATTACTAACGAAAATAACATTTATTTTCCCGAGTCTACATGAAAATATTGTACTCACGATATTAATAATAATAATAATCTCGATATAAAACAGACAAAGTCCTGTTCGTTAAAATTTTAATAGTTATAACTTATAATAATGAATTTATTACTATAATACTGCAGGCCACCATACAAGAGTTGCGTGTTTTTTTTTTTACTTCTATAATTTATTAATACGCTATGCTAATTAATTATGTAATCACTTATGAATCATTGTGTTTAAGAAGACAAGAGATAAATTGGACTACGTTAAGAGGTATGCGTATAATGTTCCTGTACGCGTATATTTGAAATAAATAAAAAAAATAATAACTAGGTGTTGTATTATAAGGGATATAACTGATATAAGAACACACGTGTTCGATACTATTTATATAGGTAAATATAATAAACATAAATTATAAAGTAGTTTTTGTAAATAAAATTATCTCAAAAATCAAATTCCTGATTCCAAAACATTTTGCTACCTTAAACACGGGCTTATAAATCACCTATACTCTACACAGCAATTAGTATCCAGCACAACACGAATGTGAAGTTATATTTTTTACTGCATTTATGGCTTTTAAATTTTATCATAATAGTTTCAAGTAGTTATACTAAATATATAAGGTACCTACTATACTAGTGAAACAACCGTGCTTATCAGAATAATTTTATTTGACAATTAGTTTTGACATGTTAAATACATTTTAATGTATTTTATTAATCAGTGTAATTTACACTTTACTTAAGTTCTATTATTATGTCGATTTATGTGATGATTTTTTCAAGGAAAATATGAAAAAWGTTTTTAAATGTTAAATCGTTTCATTTTGCAAGAAAAATAACAACTAACAAACCACTATACAGTGTATCACTTGAGTAAATAATTCTTTTGGAAACTATAAACACCGCAGTGGTTCTTGGCATTTTACACAGATGTTTAACTATCGGTATACGAGGGCCTAGGAGCATATGGCTTAGCGAAAACCAGATTTCGACAAAAAATATAACACCAAATATTTTCAATATAATTGCACATCGAATTTCGAATTATTTAATGTCTAGTATAATATTTTTTTTTTAAATCGTTCAGAATTAAGGGCTAGTAGTTTTTGAGTTATAAGTATTTAAAGTTTA